GTTCCTAGTAGCGATGCCCTTTGTTCCTAGTAGCGTCCTTGCTCCTAGTAGTAAGGACAGGAGCCCCTAGTAGCTTCTTGTTCCTAGTAACGATGCCAATTGTTCCTAGTAGCGTTTTTGCTCCTAGTAGTAAGGACAGGAGCCCCTAGTAGCTTCTTGTTCCTAGTAGCGATGCCAATTGTTCCTAGTAGCGTCCTTGCTCCTAGTAGTAAGGACAGGAGCCCCTAGTAGCTTCTTGTTCCTAGTAGCGATCCCTTTGTTCCTTCTGTCTATCTCTGTCTCTCTGTGGGCACGACGCAACGGCTACTTCGGCGCCCACTGATCCCTGCAACATCGCTTCGAATGCAAAGAACAATATATATATATATATTGTTTCTACGAGCTTCTTGTTTCTAATAGCTTCTTGTTTCTACTAGTAAGGCACTTGTTACTAGTAGCGATGCGCTTGTTCCTAGTAGCTTCTTGTGAGCTAGAAAGCATCAGAAAAGATGTCTGCATGGCCAAGAGCAACCTCCTCGGCCAAAATGGCAACCCAAAGATCCATGAGAACGCCGAGCCTCAGAGTGGTTGGGCCCTCCGTGGCGGAGTCTGTGTCATCAGAGTTGAGTTCATGTTCATGTCTCCGTTCCAATCAGACTGGGCCCAACACAGCGCTGTGGCGATCACACCTCGATTCAGCGATATAGCGATGGACGTTTCATCTCCCTCCTGACCTAATTTCGCCCCCCGCGACTTCGAAGCTCCACGACTTCGGCGCCAAGGTTTTCGTGGGGCAGCTTACGTTTGGAGCGTTGGAATCGACACGCTGAAGTTTGGAGCGTACATGAAAAACACTTTGAAATCGCAAACGCTTGTGAAGCATCCGGCAGTCTAAGCGTGAAAAAGGGGAAAAGGAAGACTTTACCATCAGCTGAAGTACAATGGGGCGCCAGTAGCGGTCAATTTCTCACTGCGTAATCTCAAACATTGCGAGACAAGCGTTTTGCACCTCAAGGCCAAATTGGACCCCACTTGCACACGACTGGAGTTCCGGAGTTCCGGGAGCAGTAATTGTACTATCCTGTACAAAAAAATCCATCCACTTCAATCCACTGGGTGGACCTGTGCAACAGAGGTCAGTCTTCTTTCATCTTGCGCCGCGCCTGTCAATTATTGCACCACAAGGCTGAGGCCTCTGCCACCAACCATCAGGATGAACTCCCGGTGGTTCAGCAGGCCTGGCACGTCCAGCCCTGCAAAAAAGAGCGAAGCTCCCGCGCGATCGGAAGGAGACTGAGGTTGGCGCCGATGACGTTGTTCACCCATTTGCCTGGGACCAACTTGATTCACGACGAAGTCGAACAACAGACTAAAGATTTTCTTCTATTTGAAGCCAGGAGGCAGTAATGGTCATAGCGGCGAATTGGACGGTAATACAGAAACGACCTGATGTTGGACAGGATCACCCGCGAAGTGAAATAGGCGGTACAGCACAGTCTCAGGCTGACAAAGCAACCCAAGCAAACAAACCAAACACGGATAAACACGGCGCATCCATGTCATAAATTGCGTATTTGCTCAGACATCTTAGCAAAAGACTTGTAGGCACGTTGCGGCAAGCCCTGTCGCAAGCATGTAAGCTCCAATCCAATGCTCTTCCATCCGAGATACGATGTCGTGACGTTTTAACTGCGCCTCTTCGATGAATTTCGATGTCGTGGCCATTGCGCGTCTGCAACTGACGTTCGGCATGGATACAGTACCTCGCGTTGGCGAAAAAAGCGACGTGAGCTTCGCGCTTCGCACGCATTGCTTCGCGAGGTGGGCACATCACGCAGCCCAGAGTGATGAAAAACAAGACACCCAAGGTCGTGTAGAATGAGAAACACACAGATTGCTCCCGCCACCTCGATTGCGAAATGCAAACATAAAGGACTTCAGGATGGCACAGTCGCCAGAACCTTGACTTATAAGTGGCAACTGCATTCAGAACTGTTTGGCTCAACGGGTCTGACTACACTCGTACGAAGATTTGGGCACAGGGCCGTTGGAAGACACGGCTTCCAGTCGATGCCGCAATAGACATATTCCATTTTCCTTGGGAAGCTTGCCATAACATATTTTGCGCACAAACGAGACAACATATGGAATTGGGCACCCAGACTTGTCCTCGGCAACCGACTCGTCGTCAGGCTCAACTTCTTCCTACGCCCCAACGCATTACAAGTAAATCTTCCTGAGACAACATGACCCAACTGGTTGGTCTTCAAGCCACCGCGCCCAAAGTCACAGTCGTGCCCTTCAATCATGCATTTTTAAAAGTCTAGTGGCAAATTCTGCAAAGAAACACTAGTCACTAGTCTTTCACATACAATTTTTCTCATACGCGGCGCCTCCTTAGCTTGTGTGGAGACAGCTGTCCTCGGCATATTGTTCAATAATCCGTATCAAATCCAAGGGAGGATACTCTGCTCTGAGCAAGCGGCACAGCTGTCAAAGTTTGGTTGACGGGTGAGGCATCATTCCTGTGGTTTGCGCTCACTCATGATCCACTTGGTTGGTGCACAAACAAGCTGAAGCTGTCTGTCATGGCAGGTGCCACTAGTTGCATCATATGTTGGTACCTTCGCGGGAAAAACAAGCAGCAAACAAAGCATACTGCAAAATTGTGTCATCAATATGTTTCTCTGTTACACAACCAAAAACATCAGATCTTGGAGCGGCACGGTGGACCATGGTCCCCCATATACACAGGCAGCATGTGGAAAATGCAGCAAATGCACAACCTAGATTATGTGTTTGAGCCTTCCAGGTGTGCTGAGGATTCAGTCTTTTCGATCCGGCTGGGTTCAAGCAACATGATTGAACACGTGTCTCAAAGCTGCGTACAGACTTTTCGTCTGGCTCACCTTCTTCCTTGAGACATGACCCAACTGGTTGGTCTTCAAGTCATTGCGCCCAAAGTCACAGTCGCGCCCTTCAATCATGCATTTTTAAAGGTCTAGTGGCAAACTCTGCAAAGAGACACCAGTCACGCCCGGGACAGCTTTCTCCCCAAAAGCAAAGGAATCTGCTTTTGGTGACAAAGCTGTCCTGGCATGTTGTTCAATAATCCGTATCAAATCCAAGGGAGGAGACTTCAAAACATGGATGCTGGAACGAAAGCCGTCTTCATCCCTGCTAGCAAGCAGCACATTGAGCAAGGCACAAGGCGCCTTCCTCGACCCCCCCAGGTAACAGATCCCTTACCGCTTGCGACGTTCAGTTAGGCCTCAATATCTGACCGTGCCAAGCCAGGTCGAGATCTTCGGGCGAAGCGCGAAGCGAACCTACAGGACTCGTTCGACTGAGCTTCTTGTGTTCTCCTCGTTTTGAGAGGGACTTGCGCCCCAGTAGTACGGCTACTTGCTCATTGTTTTGGGGAGTAGAGTAGAGGGACTTCAACAGGTCTTTTGCAGCATCTCTAGCCCTTCTTGTGCACGTGGCTCCCGTCCACCTCCTCCGTCTGATGTGCCAGCGAGGCAGACCCTGCCCGTTCTAAAAAGGTCTGCTTTGGTTCTTCCGTTTGGCCGTGTAAAATTTTAGTTTTCTTTTTGTTACTAGGAGTAAGGCACTTGTTACTAGAAGCGATGCACTTGTTCCTAGTAGCGATGCCCTCGTTATTAGAAGCACACATTATGAACCATGTCGTTTTTTTCGCCTTTGGTTTTTACCCGGCTTTCCTCGCCCGGATGAGGCTAGTGGGGGGGTCCTTGTCTCGGGTGGCGTAGGGCCCGTTCGGAGTCGAGTAGCTGTTGACTTTGTTTCTGTCCACGAAAAACATGTATATGACAAAGTTAGAACATTTGTTTTCTTTTTTTTTTCGAAAATTTCGAGTTTCGTGGAGCTCCGAAGAAGCATGAACTCTCCGTCCTAATCGCGTGTTTACTCCTCTCCTTACTTCTCCCTTCTTTCATTATGAGGTCGTCTCTACTAAGTAAGGAATTACTTCTTGTTTCTACTAGCTTCTTGTTACTAGTAGTAAGGCACTTGTTACTAGTAGTAAGGAACTTGTTGCTACTAGTAAGGCACTTGGCACCCGATCTTTCGTAGAAACTGTGCTCTTTCGTTCTAGTTCTGTTCCCCTCGATGGCGACGCTTTCTTTTGCGCGATCAGTGTCAGCACAAGTAAGTCTGCGCGAAGATCACCACAAACACCATGCTTGCCTGGCGCCGGCCATGTTGCTGCATAGGTCGGTCCATGCAAACTGAGCATGGCACAATCGGTATGGAAGCTGCTCCCGTGATTGGGTCAATCCGATCTTCCTGAGATCACATCCCTCTTCCCGTCTACTTTTAGTTCATTGTAAATAAGAGCAATGGCCTCCAACCTACTAGCTCTTTTTAAAAGGGATATGTTCCTTTTTGTTTTTTTCCGTTGTTCCTTTTTCTCGTGCCATGCAACGGAAACCGTTTGCTTTCGTGATTTGGTTTCGAAGGGCGAAAGTCAGCGGAGCCAACGGCTTCGCTTTTTTAACGCTTCTTGAGTTCGTCAGAAAAACAATTACTTAGACAGTAGATTGTCTCTTAAACATATTAGGTACAAGAAATAATCAATTCGAATACATAAAAATCATAAAGTTCTTTGATGAGGAAAGGATTTTGTTTCGCTTCGCTCTGGGACTCGGACAATTTGAAGCACCCAATAGTTCACTGAGAGCTCTAGGCCGTGACGATTTTGGATCTTTGCGACGACCTCGAAGCGAGAAAGAGGAAGAAGAAAACAATTTGTACTACATATTATTACATACCTGAGAGGGGAGGGGACGAAAGCCAGCCTCTGGCTTAGGGGGTGCTCTCAGGGTAGGCTCGGGCAACGACGTGGCGTGCAAGAGGAAGTGATGGGGCACCATCGGGGAAAGAGAAAGTTCGTGGTGGGAAGTTGACATCGCAGCCACAGAGAAATGGACAGTAGAAGATATAGGTCTGGGGGGGGGCGCCCTTTTCTGTCCTTGTTTAGGGGGAATTTTGAAATGAAAAAGGGCATCCCTCAGGAAGTGAAGCGCCTTTGCCGGCGGCGTGTTGCGAACCAGGGAGCAGAGACGGTGACCGGGGTGCACGTGCGAGGCAAGGGGTAGGGTAGGTGAGGAGGTCCCCGTATGTAGACATTAGTGTGCAAGGTAGAGTGGAAAAAGAGCAGCAGGAAGTGGTGAGGTGGATATGGGAGCGACGTGCGGGTGGAAGATGAAGTGCTAGGCTAACATTATGTAAAGAGTACGTGTATGGAGTGAAGTTGGCATCGCCGGGCGTGATAGGAGGCAGAAACAGACGGTAGAAGTAAAAAGGAGGGGTGCTCTTTTTCGTTCTGAAAAAGGGCACCCCTCAAACTCATCAAATATATTATATGAGTTTGCTTGCTGCGTGTTGCTAATCAGTGAGCAAAGATGGTTGTGGGAAGCCTCTGGGCGAGGCTATCGGCAGGCTTTCGTGAGGATACATATATATGTATTTAGGTAGAGTGGACAAAGAGGAGCCGGAAGTGGTGAAGTGGATATGGCCGTCATTCGAGACAGAGTGGAAATAGACAGTAGAATACATAGGTTTGGGACGGGGTGCCCTTTTTCGTCTTGATGTTGGGGCGTTGTGGAGGCACCCCTGCAGTCCGGGGAAGGTTTGGTATGGTGTGCGGTCTATGTTTCAAGTGAGTTGACGGCTGGCTTTCGTGATAAAATGTATTTGTTTACCGTAGTCGGGCCGGGAAGTTTGAATAGGTGGTATGATTCGAGGGTATGATTCGGGGTATGATTCGGGGGTATGATTCGAGGGTATGATTCGCAGATGATTCGCAGCTTTGAAGTTGTATTGTTGGATTAGCTGGACTTCCAGCAGTGGGCCCACTCTGCGCCGAGGCAGTAGGCAAGCAGCATCTGTTGGATGCTGGGCAGACTAGGCAAATGCACTCTTCCACCAAAGACTCCAGTGGCCCTTTGCAGGCCCCACCAAAGCAACCAGGATGTGGGATGGGTGGGAGACTGTGTGGAGGTGCGTGATTCGGGTATGAATCGGGCATGAATCGGGTGTGATTCGTATGGCCATTAGATTCTGCAAAAGAAGGTGGTCCTTTGGCTCTTCTTCTCAAGGGAAAGCACATGGGAACATTATGAGTACCCCTGGGATGTGAGCCTTTGCTCGTCCCACAAGAAGACACAAACAATTTTGGCCAAATTGAGTGCCCATGGATCACACAATTGCAAACGGGGTGGAGGGGTATGATTCGGGGGTATGATTCGAGGTATGATTCGAGGGTATGAATCGCTCAAGTCGAACTTCCAACCACTACATCAGGAAGTACACGCCAAAAAAATACAAACCCAATGGGGACCAACTAGACCTTGCCACGGATAAAAAAGGGCAACTCAAAGCCTTCCGCCTCCAACGCTTGCCCGCAGCTGCAATCTGTTCTCTTTCCTGCTTTGACTCAATATACGGTGACTTCTAACCAGCTTTTCACGTCCCCTTGTCTTCCCTTTCCTCTCATCGACGTGAACTCGCACCCCTAGTAAAAACAGCTTACATGGCCTCCTGAGCCCTTCATCATGCTGAACTGGCCGTCAATAACATCATCGGCATCACAACACCCCAAAAACAACTCATTTTCACTACCAAGTGGCCCGCCTCTTTTTGTCGCTCTCCGGCACCAGTCTCTGGGTTCACCTCTGCGGAAGTGACCACCCACGCAACCCCCCCACACCCCCTTTACTCACTTCGTTCGCTCCAGAAACTCAAGCCTAGCCTACCGGCTGGCTTTCGTGATTATTACTATCTTTTTAAAGGGGGGTAGGCCGCTAGTAGAGGTGAGGCCGCTAGCTAGTAGAAGGAAGGTCAGTAGCTACTAGCTAATAGTAAGCTACTACCTACCGGACGCTTCTTCAAGGAAGCTCCCCCATCGCCCTGGAGGCGGCGGGGGGGAGCTTCCTTGAAGAAGCGCTCGCACTATTCATGTGGTTACTAGTAGCTTCTTGTTCCTAGCAATAAGGCCAGGAGCTACTAGTGGCGT